GAGAGAGAGAGAGAGAGAGAGAGAGAGAGAGAGAGAGAGAAGAACAAAGAAAAGAGTATGGGAAGTAAATTAGGAAAATTTAACGAATTCTTGACGGACACCAATGCACTGTGTTCTAAAAATACATTCAAGGGAACCAAAAAAAGATAAGAAAGAAAAAAGATACCCAAAAGCAGAACAGAACAGGACCAGAAACAAACTTTGCGCACAAATAGGCCACATTACCAATAATATCCTCTTGGGGACTTGTTTGGGCTGGAGACTGATTAAGAAGCAGAATTTGATGTTTTCAGACGCTTTTCCTTTTCCAAAGCAGCCAGTCGGACTAAAAACAACAACCCCTACTCGGATCCCCGCACGAAAAACAACCAACCAACAAAACAAAACTAAACAAACTAGAAAAACCAATAACCAAAAAACAGTTTTTTTTAAAAGTAAAAAAACCCCCTTTGATTCTGTGGTTTCATTATGGAAAGTTTTAATCGCTTTACTGTACAGTGCCGGGAGTACATTGCTTGTCAACCTGGGTGGTATGGCCCAATAGTGGGCGATTTAGTAATTTTGGTGGGCAGTGGGAATTACCCGGATAGTAGTTGGTCTCAGGTTGTGTTAATTTATGTCCCGCTTTGTAATACCCGAAGTATGCAGGTGGGCGGTACGAAAAACATTAGCCACTTGAAGGTGGCAAAAGTGAGAGTGGACTAGTAAAACGTTGACTAGCACTGACTTATTGTTTACCTTTAATACTTGGAGGTGTCTATCTCTGACTCAGAGGGTGCCGTGTAATGACCCTCCATCCTTAACTGCAAATTCTGCTGTACCCAGTCCAGTCCATGTTTCAATGTTGCGCCTCCAAGTTACTTTTTGTCTTCCCCTGGCTTTTCCTTCAAGTGCCTCTTTCACAATGGTCTGGTGTCGTTTTAAGTGACCAAATTATTGTACTTTTTAATGCTTAAGACATGATTAACAATTTTATCATTTGTATCGAAAACATCACAGAAATGAGCATTGTCCAAAGCCTGATCCAGCATAAAGGACGTTAATGAAAGGGCGAAGAAAGGAGGAAAAGAATAGCGGGAAGGAAGATTTTTTTAAACCTGCTTTAAAAAAAAATTGTATCATAATTATTTCTGGATGCTTTTTTTCGGGGGGGGGGGGGGGGGGGGGGGAAATTTATGAGGAGTCCTTTTCAGCTCCGTGCATCGCAACAATAAACTGATCAACAACCCATTTTTTGCTAGGCAAAGGGAGGAGGGGGGGGGGGGAAGAAATGCGGATGTCGGGTCGACAGCTCTCAAACTTGCCTTTTGTATACACGTTGTTTCCTTTGATCAGATATTTAATTCACACGTTCACGTTAAGTGTTCCGATGTTGTGTTGAATTTCTCATCCGCATAACATCGCGATGAGGTGGCTTCTCGATTTACAGACTTCTTATTCAGAGGGAACTTTGGCTAGAATTTCGCTGGCGTTTACGATGAATCGCACCCTTGCCTTCAAAATGTCCAAAAATAGCCTATTGTGGCTGCTAGGCCTATCTTTAAGAAGAAGAAGAAAGGAACCCGCGCCAACTCAATTTTAAAAGAACTACATTGGGTGCCGTATCGAGTACAAAGTTTGAGTCTTCGGTCATAAATTGTAAAATAATAATTATCTCCCAGGCCTAGATCTATCTCTAAAACTTGGAAAAAGATAAGTACTAACACGAAGACTTAGGTCGTTCGGTGATAAAACAATTTTGCTCAAACCATTAGTGAACTACACATTTTATGGATAGCGTTCCTTTTGATATTATTGCTATCTGATGTGGAATGACTTATGCACATATGTAATTGAGACTCGAGTTCCCTGGCAATGTTAAAATCACATCTTTTTGCTGAGGCATACTCTTCTTAGTGTTCTTACCTTCTTGGTCAATGTTTATACCCTATCATTTTTGGTATTTTGCTGCTGGCTCCACACCGCACTCCCCTTAAAAAAGCCCCACAAAAAAATAGAAACAAACCAACAAACAAGTGAACAAACAGAAACGAAACAAATTCAACCCAAACAAGAAGAAATAAATCAGAGACAGTACGATCCCCTTTACAACAACAAGGAAAAACAAAAACAAAAGACCCCAAACATTTTAAACAAAACAAAAACAAAACTAAACTAAACAAGACGCAACAAAACACAACATGGAGACAAAAAACACAGCCCTCTCCAGACTCTTTGCTAAAATTTTTCTGTAACCAGCTTTCAATGTTTCTTTATCTTGAGTCTCCACATCGACCTCTGTTTTTCACGGTATATGCACAACAATAGTCGCATAAAATCGAGCGAGGCCATTCAAAAACAGGAACGGCGTCTGTCACGATATGGCTATAAGGCCCTTGACCAAGCATATGAAAATGAGCCCATTTACTTCCTGCGTGGACTAAATAAATGCGGGGAATTCCCAACTTTTGTTCGTTTTTTTTCCTCACAGTATGAGTTTGCTCCAAGGACCTTTCCGCACCTGCATAATCTCCTTGGTTAACTCTGGCGTGCAGGGGTTTCTTTAATGATCTAAAAGATTGGCCTTACCATTACACAGTTTCCTAAGGTATTAAAAAAACGACTTTTCAGGGTTGACAAAATCAACCTATTAATGCCTTAAGCAAATTATTGTGTTTCTATAGTTAATAATTGTTTTGTTTTGTTTTATTATTCATTTTTTGGAATAAAACGTTGATATATTCAGGACGCGAAACAGGTAACAGGCGTTTTTTTAAAAAAACATTCCACTAACGAAATACCTGAAGAAAAAAGAAAAACAAAACAAAACAAAAAATGTTATCCCTCCCCAGAGACCCCGAATTTGCGCATCAAGCCTCTTTAAAATAGATCAACAAAAACCACCACCACCACCACCAACAACAACAACAAAATAATACTACTCCGCTCCCCCCCCTTTCCCCCCAAAAAAGAAAAGAAAAGATACTAAAAATCAGAAAATCACTCACAATTAAATGTTGAAACAATCTCTGTCTTGTATTTGCTTTATTTCAGTTCGAGGTGGAGAGAGGAAGCTGGACCGGCCGACTGGACTTCATCCTGTCTGGTATTGGCTACACTGTCGGTCTGGGCAATGTCTGGAGGTTCCCTTACAAGGCTTTCGAGCACGAAGGAGGTAACTTCTGAATGTAGTTTCTACTTTAATCGTATATTAGTTATTATTATTTTTTTTGTAAATGTTTTACATAGCTCGCAACTGCATAAGGTTATATGAGCGCGCGAAACTCATTAAACGTTTTCAGTTGGAACGAAGTTTTGAATTTTTGTCTTCGTAGCGGCCGGAGCCTACTTTTTAATCGATTTTTTGACCACCAAGGGATCTTTAATGTGGGCAAGTAGCACACAGGACCTCCGAGATCTTTCGCCCTGATGATCGATGATCGTATATTTAATGGAAAGCGCTAATCCGAGTGACACTGGGAATAGGCCCAGAAACCACTGGGAATAGGCTAGAATTGCTCTCAGTGTCACTGGGAATAGGCTAAGAAACTATTTCTAGTGACACTGAGAACAGGCCGATTATTGTTCCCACACTGAGAATAGGCCCAGATGTTAACTCATTAGATTTTGCTCTGATTAGGCCTATAGCATGCGCAATAAGTCTGAAATCGGAGTGATTAGGGTAAACAGGTGAAGGACGAAAATTCAGTGCCGAATGGCTGGTGTCCATTAAGTGCAATGGAAATGTGAAAACATGCGTGCCCGATCCGGGGCTCAAATCCCGGACCTTTCACTTCCTTAGATCCTCTAGATCTATCCATAAAAGCTGCACATTTCCCTTCAACTCTTTAAAGGAGTAGAACTTGGCGCCCGCTTCCACCTGCAATTTTATTTCGCAGTGAAAATTCAAAGGCAAAGACTTCTTATTTTTTATGCAAAAGAGTTCCGTTGTTACTGGGAATCGTTTTCTGTACCTGTCCCCAGTGTAACTTGGAATAGCCTCTTAGATATTTAATTCACATGTTTACCTCAAGTGTTCCAGTGTTCTGTTGAACTTCTCATCCACACAACAGCGCTATGAAGTGTGTACTCGATGTACATGTCGTAAATAATTTTCCTATTCCCTGGGAATTTTGACTAGAATCTTGCTGGTGATATGACGTTTCACGACACGGTGGAATCAGGCGCTCGTCAATTGCTGGGCGTATAGAATTATTGGTATCATCCTAAGGCTTTTTCATTGTCACGTTCTTGATATAAGAATATGCATCTGTTTGAATGGAAGTCGAGATTTGCGTTTGAAGGAGTTTACAGTCGCCTGGTGTCAAAGGTAAAATATTCGAAAAATGGCCGTCAAAGTTGGTTAACTTCCAAAGCTTTGCTGTCTTTGGAAACTGAAAAAATACTCTTTTTCCGTCTTTGATCAATGCTTTTCGGTTAAACCCGTACACAAATGATTTTTTAATGGAAATATTAAGGGACTGAGTCAGATTAAAAATACTATAAAATTTGCAAATCGGATTTCATTAATTTGAAGTGTACCTGATTTCACCCCAATGGTACATATTAGGCTTCTTCGTCGTTTTCCTTTGTTTGTAATCTTAATTATGATAATTAACAGCTTTTTGTAGTGCGCATATCCCTGTTCAACAACAGCTCCATGCGCGCGCTTTACAATCTATAGTATTATCATACCAGCAGACTCTAGAAGGTTTAAAAACATTCTCAACTTCCCGGTATTCATAACGTGCAAGCAGTCAATTAAAAGCTCGAACACTTACAAACTGACAAAATTATTCATTGTTTGTAGCTAGGTACCCTTTCCCAAACTAGGTGAAGTTAGGAAGATTCTAGTAACGTCGATAAAATTCTTATAAAGTCTGGAGCCTGACGAGGTTCGAACCCACAACCTATCAGTTAGCCCGACAACCTATTCACTGGACCACATTAATCTGGTTTTATGTTGGTATATTCTATTGAATATGTTTATATCTCTCTGTATACTTTTTGCAGACATTGTG